GAACATAGATTTAATATAATTGGGAAAAGAACCAGAGGGGAGACGAGGGGACATTTACGCAGCGATTTATTACGATCTGAAACGTACTGTCGGAAAGGCTCATGAAATCAGATTCCATAGTAGCTTTCAAAAGGGAATTGGACAGGGACTTGAAAAGGAAAACTATGCAGAGATACGGCGTAGGAGCGGAGGAGTGGGACTGATTGGGCAGCTCTTTCAAACAACCGGCACAGACACGATGGGCTGAATGGCCTCCGCCTGTGCTGTAAGATTCTGTGATTCCATAATTCTATTTACACTGTAAAGTGAATTGACTGTATATTTGTGGGCGAAACGCGGCAGACAATTGCGCACAGCAGTGTCCCACAAACAGTCGTGGATCGAAGCAGCCAATATATTATTTTTTTGTAAGGATTATTACCCCCAGAAAAGTAATCCACCAGTCGACTAACAACCGTATTCTTACTTACTGCAGTGTAAACAGAGGCGTGTGCGTGTGAAATAAGGACATTATGCCCCGACCCGCCCAGGAATCGAACAAAGGTCCTCTCGCTTGTGAGGCGAGTGCTGTAACCACTGAGCTGCAGGACTCCAACGATAAAACCCCTGACAGGTAAACCACCCGGAGCTCAGTGACCTGTGAGTTAGGAATGTCTGGAGTTAATCGCTGTACAGCTCAAAGGTTTCAGTTGGTTTGAAGCAGTGATTTCATGTGGAAGTGAAAGCCATTGTAAGATTAGCTCACTCATAAAGCTGGCTCGTGCCTCAGATTCCTGTACCTTGCCTGCAGCTGGCTGGGATAATAATGGTAATAATAATAAAATAATAATCCTTGCATTTGATATACGCTTTTCACATCTTCTGACGTCTCAACGCTTCACAGAATAGTGAATTGATGCATAAATTTGTGGGCGAAATGCGGAGGCCAATTACGCACAGCAGTGTCCCACAAACAGTCGTGGATTGAAATGACCAATTTATTATTGTTTTTTTTGAGGGATTATTATCAGGGTGTGGAGTAAGGAAACTTGCCAAGGCCTCGCCCGGCCGGAATCGAACTCAGGTCTCTCACTAATAATAATAGTATAATAATAGTAATTCTTGCAAAAAAGATAAATTGGTCACTTCACTCCACAACTGTTTGTGGGACACCTCTGTGCAATTAATTGGCTGTTGACTAACACGCGAGATTACTTTCTGCTTGATAAACAATGGCACGCGCGCGTGTGTGTGTGTCTGTGTGTGCATGTCTGTTTGTGTGTGTATGTCTGTGTGTGCGTTTCTGTGAGTATGTGTGTGTGTGTGAGTCTGTGTCTGCGTATGTGTCTGTGTGTGTGAGTAAGGAAACTTGCCCACGTTTCACCCTGAATACTGAACTCCTGGTAAATAACATTAACTTCTCAGTGAGCCGATAAGTCACAACAACAACAACACACTTGTATTTACACAGCGCCCTTTACGAGGGTAGCGTCTCGGAGTGGTGGAACCTGACGCAGAGTCAGGGAGAGACAGGGAGTAGGTGACCGTGAGCATGGTCAAAGAGAAAGATTTTCAGTCGTGAGAAAGAGGGACGATAGGAGAGGGGAGGAAAGGGGAAAGGCGGAGATCGGGGAGAGAACTCCAAAGTCTGACAATACGACCCCCCATGATGGATCAGAGGGCACGAGGGACACGCAGGAGGCCGGAGGCAGCCGAGAGGAGGCAGTGGGTAGTGGGTTGGGGAGTCAGCAGGTCGGAGAGAGAGGTAGGGAGGTGCCAGAGCCTGAAGAGATTTGTAGATGATTGAAAGGATCTTGAAATCGATCTACGTTGTCACAGCTATCTACTTCCTGGTGCCATTACGACGTAAATTGTGATAAATATCTTTTTGGTGCTTTCCAAGGTCCTGAAACACAATGCAGATCGGACAGACCATTACTAACAACAACATTTTACACTGAACCTTTCACATCAGGAGGACGTCCCAAGGACCTGGACAGTCAGGGATTTGGATCTGAGCTGTGGGTTGGGATCAGGACGGGGTGGATAGTGGCGAGTTAGGCGTTAGGAAGGTGACCAGGTTGAGGAGGAAAGTCTTGTGACAGGCCTTGAAGGAGGTGAGGGAGTGATGGGGTGGGATGGAGGGACTGTGGGATGGAGTTCCAGAGGGTGGGGCAGAGTAACTGAAGGCCCAACCGATGGTGGGGCAGGTGAGGCGGGGGATGTGAAGCAGGCCGGAGCCCGCTGAGCAGAGAGAGCGGACAGGTTGTTAGGGGTATGGGAGCTGCAGAGTTAGTTCTGGATGATCTGCAGTTTGTAGAGGGAGGCGTTGGGAAGGCCGACAAGCAGGGAGGGGGCAAAGTCAAGCCTGTTTGTGGTGAACACATGGATGAGGGCCTCGGTGGCCTGCGGTGAGAGACAGTGGCGGAGCCGGGCAATATGGCGGAGGTGGGGATGGCATAGCAGGTCATGGCACGGATGAGGGGATGAAGGACAGTTTAGGGTCGTAAAGGACAGAGGTGGGACAGCAAGAGACTGAGCCGGGCTGACACACTGTCCGTGTCAGCCATTTGTTTCCTCACCATGTAAGGGCCTGAATCCTTCTGGGAGACATTGGCAGAGGAAGCCTAAAATATAACCAAACACAGTTTAGCTATTCATTAGCAATGTCGTTAGCAGTAAATAATAATAACCATTGCATTTCATACAGTGCCTTATCACGTCTTCATAACATCTCAAAGCGCTTCACAGGATACACGGTAAGGAGTAGTGACTGTGTGGTTTCATAATAATAATAATCGTTGCATTTGATACAGTGCCTTATCACGTCTTTGAGTCGTATCAAAGGGGAGCCAATTGCCTAAGGTTTTGCCCTGTCCGGGAAATGAAACCGGATCCTCTCGCTTGAGAGGCGAGGACTCTAACCACTGAGCTACAGGACTGCACAGGACTTACTCTGACATCAATGGTCTCGTAGTGTGGTTCACCCTCTGTCTCTTGCTGTGTTTTGGCTGGAAAATAAACAACAACTTGTTTATTCAAAGGCACAGCCTCTGATGGTGGGATGGAGGGAACGAGGGACAAATAGGAGGCCGGTGTGGGGCGGTGGGGGTGAGCAGGTCGGAGAGGTAGGGAGGTGCCAGGGCATGAAGGGGTTTGAAAACGAGTGAGAGGATCTTGAAATCGTAGAAAATCTTGAAAATCTACAAGAGTTTGGTACTGAACCGGTGAACTTGGAGAGAAATGGAGAGGGAGGGACTGATAGAGAGAGAGAGAGAGAGAGAGAGAGAGAGAGAGAGATTAGCAGTGAGAGATAGGGTTAAAGCCTGACAGAAAGACAAAGAGGGAGCGATTGAAAGAGAGAGGTGGAGATGGATGGATAGAGACTGATAGAGAGTGAGATGGAGGGTGATAGAGAGGGGGGATAGAGGCTGATAGAAAGGAGATGGTGAAATGGAGTGGGAGAGACTGATAGAGAGAGAGAGAGAGATAGAGGGGGAGAGACTGATGGAGGAAGAGTGAGACGGAGAGGGTAGAGACTGATTGAGCTTGTGACTGAGGTGGATAGAGACTAATGGAGGGAGTGTGAGACAGAAGGGAAGAGACTGATAGAGAGACATGAAGGGGGAGAGACTGATAGTGAGAGAGAGTGAGACGGAGGGGGAGAGACTGATAGAGAGAGACAAGGGGGAGAGACTGATAGTGAAAGAGAGCGAGACGGAGGGGATAGAGACAGATAGAGTGAGACGGAGGGGTAGAGACTGACAGAGAGAGAGGACAGTGAGAGGGTGAGTGGCTGAGGGGGGTCTGGGCTGGTATATAAACAACAGAACATGAAGGTGAAAGGTTTTCCTGTGTATATACGGCCTCACCTTCCTTACGTTTCCTGTAAACGTACACCACAGCGAGTGTTGCAATGACCACCACAGCCACAGCCCCCACTATTGTCCCCACTATCAGGGCCACATTCACTGCGGAGAGAAACACCTTCACTGTCTCTCTATTAGATTATACTCTCGTAACATAGAGACCACAGCACAGACCTCATGAACATCATATCAATCCTCGCATTTGATACAGTGCCTTATCACGTCGTTGTAAAGTGTAGTAACTGTGTATTTTGTGGGCGGAACACGGCAGCCAATTGCACACAGCGGTGACCCACAAACAGTCGTGGATTGATTGACCAGATTTTTTGTTTTTTTGGAGGGATTATGACCCCCGGAAAGTGAACCGTCAATTGACTGACAAGTGGCTTCGTACCTTCTGCTGGTGAACAGAGGTGTGTGCATGTGTCTCTATGTGTGTCTGTGTGTGTGTGTGTGTGTCTGTCTGTGTGTGTACTGACATATCATAACTTACCTTCGCCTTTCAAAGTCACGTCAAATTGGAAGAAGTTCTCTCCCATTGCGTTAGTGACACGGCATTGATATGTGCCCTGATCGGTTGCCTGGAATTTACTGATGAGCAGTTTAGAGAAGGTCGGTCCTGAGGTGATGTTGAACTTGCCGTCAGAGCCAGTGATGGAGTTGTCTTCCTTCGACCATGTAAAGTGTGCGGGCAGTAGGCCAGGGTCTGACACCCGCACTGTGTCTGTCAGTGACACGTCTAAGGTCACATCTGCCTCCTTCTCCACTTCCACCTGAGGCTCAGACCCTGACGCTCTCTGGGGTTTATCTGTGTAACAGCACAGACGGCGTTCAGCAAATCAGCAACACAGTCACCCCAACAGTCAATAGGAATAATAATAATCCTCCCGTTTGATACAGCGCCTTATCACGCTATCGAGACATCTTAAATCCCATCTAAAGACCTTCCTCTTCGACCAACCGCACCTTCAGCCACCCTCCCACCCCAAAACCCACCCCCTGCCCTCCACCCCTCCTGACCCCAACTCCCAGCTCAGTCCAAAAACCCAGACTGGTGCAGCGTCCCGGACGTGTTTGCGACGTGAAGAGTGCTATACAATGTAATTTGTTATTGTCGCTGGCTGTTCAGGCCCTCCAAGTCCTCACCAATGACTATAAGCATTGACTGTCAGAGACAACATGGCGTCCAACACATGTGAAGATCTCTCGGGAGCTGAGCTGATCCTTTGTGATGGTGACATTCCCCTCGTTTGTCGCATTGACAATCGTCTGTCCGACCTTCAGCTGAAGGACAGAGTCTGGCACCCCACCAGCCCAGGAGCACATCAACCCCACTGCTGTTCCTTTATCCGCTGCTCCGCATGTGATCTGCTGTGTGGGAGTCCCTTGAACAAGGCAAAGACAAACAGTCCAGTTATTGGCTCCACCTTGAGTTGTCCCCACCCTCGCCCGGCTCCACTGGCTCCCCATCCCTCAGAGGATACAGTTCAAGATCCTGGTGCTCAGCTTTAAAGCCCTCCATGGCTCACTCTCTGTCCCTACCTCTGTGACCTCCTACCCCTGACCAAGCTGTCCACTCCCTCCGCTCATTAGGCTCCAGCCTACTCCATGTCCCTTCCCGGCCCACTCCATCATCGGCGTTCTGCCCTAATTTGCCCCATCCTATGAAACTCCCATAACCGCTCCGCCTCGCCCTCTCCCTCGCCTTCTTCAAACCTGTGCGATCTACTGTGCCTTCGTCACCCTCCTACACCCATCTCCCTGCCCTCCAACCCTCCTGATAGCAACCCCCAGCTCAGGTGTGGGTCCTGACTGTCCAGCGCCTTGGACATCCTCCTGACGTGAAAGCCACTGTGTAAATGCCATGTGTTGTTATTTAGACAGTGCCAACTTTGACTGAGATCTAACTCACTGTACACGAGGATTGAAACCTTCTCTGTGCGGCTAATCGTGGTGTAATCGCTCTCCACATTGCAAGTGTAATCCCCGCTGTTGTAGAACGTGAGGCTCTCTATAGGCAGCTGTGAGGTGTTGCCGGCAATGACCGCGGTGTTATGTGTCCACGTGTAGTTACACTCTGGGAAACATTTCGTCTGACAGTTGAGGGTCATAAATCTCCCTCCTTCCCACAGTACTGTCCTGGGAAGAAGCTGTCACATAGCTCCAGCCCGATCACTTCAACTGTGGGTGGATCAGGGCCATCTGAAAGAAAAAGCATTAAACTATGACATAGATAGATAAATGGATGGCAGATGATAGTGTGAGAGAAACAGCCTTTTTACATGTATCACAGGAACCTGGGAATCTTGTTTGACCCTGAACTGTCCTTTCTCCCCCACATCCGCGCCATGACAGCACTGCCTACCGCCACCTCCGCAATATTGCCAGACTCCGCCACCTCCGCAATATTGCCAGACTCCGCCACTGTCTCAGCCATCAGGCTTCCGAAGCCTTCACCCACGCATTCATCACCTCAAGGTTTGATTACGTGAACTCCCTCCTCATCGGCCTTCCCAACTCTTCCCTTCAGAAACTGCAGATCATCCAAAACTCTGCAGCTCGTGTACTCTCGTGCACCCGGCTCCGTGACCCCATCACTCCCACCCTCGCCGACTCCACTGGCTCCCCATCCCTCAGAGGATGGAATACCAGATGCTTGTCCTCACCTTTAAGGCCATCCATGGCCTTGCCCCCTCCTATCTCTCTGACCTGCTGACTCCCTACCAACCTGCCCGCGTCCTCCGTTCAGTGTGCTCCGGCTGCTCCATGTCTCCTACCCGGCCCATCGCTGGCCGGGCTTTCAGCTTCTCTGCCCCCACACTCTGGAACTCCATCCCACGGTCCCTTGGCCTCGCTTCCTCCCTCGCCTCCTTCAAGCTTGGTCTCAAACCCTCCTCTTATCGTGCTTTGGTCTCCCTCCCACCTCTCTGCCTTCCCTCACCCCTCCCCCACCCCTCCCACATGCTCGGGCCCCGACACCTGACTGTTCAGCACTTTGGAACGTTTTCCTGACGTGAAAGGCGCTCTATAAATGTAATTTTGTTGATGTTGTTGCTGTTGTTCTGGCCTTTTGTGGGTCCCTCCTGAGCGCAATTGGCTGCGCGTTTCACACATAAAATATACAGTGAATTCACTTTACAATATATTCTGTGAAGCGATTTGAGACGAGGTAAGGCACGTTTTTTGGATGTGTTAATACCTCTGGAAAAGTGATCCGGCAATCGACTAACAAGGGTTCCCGCTTACTGTTAGGCAAACAATAGTGTGTGTGGGGGTGAATGTGGGGGTGTGTGGGTGGAGTAAGGAAAGTTGCGTTAGGTGTCGTCCTGACCCGCCCGGGAATCAAACCCAGGTCCTCTCGCTTGATAAGGCGATATATCAAGTGCAAGAATGATTATTATTCTGATGATCATGACTATGATCATTATTATTGTGATTATCATTACTATTATTGCAGCTCAGGTCACGTGAGGCTGACTTTGGGTCAAGGAGTTTAAAGTGAGTCGGGGTTCCTGCTCCTGGTCCCTAACCTCCCTCTCGGGCTCAGGTGTGTGTGTTGCAGTCTAGTGAGGAGATTAGGTTTGTCTGTGGGGCCCTCTACAGTCAAGTGGCCGATTGATACTCAAATGGTGATGAGATCTTTAACCTGAACAGACAGATAGTTTAACGTCTCATCCAAACAACGGCTCTTCCAATGATAATAACAATAGTGGAGTCCTGTAGCTCAGTGTTTCGAGCAAGTGAGAGTCTTGGGTTCGATTCCCAGCAGGGGGTGAATGCTTGGGCAACTTTCCTTACTCCACACGCCTGATAATAATCCCTCAAGAAAAAAAAAACAATAATAAATTGGTGACTTCAATCTACGGCTGTTTGTGGGGACGTTGCTGTGCGCAACTGTCTGCCACGTTTCACCCACAAATATACAGTCAATTCACTTTACAGTATATTCTGTGAAGCGTTTCAGTCGTCCAGAAGACGTGAAAAGCGCTGTATCAAATGCAAGGATTATTATATTATTGATAGAGCAAAATGTCGGCCAAGTTTCCCTACTCCCAAACACACCCTCTGTTTACTGAGCAGTAATTAGGAACCCGGTTATTAGTCAATTGGTGGGAATCAAACCAAAGTCCTCTCACTTGCGAGGTGAGGGCTCCAACCACTACAGGACCCCACTGTTTGTTTCTCTATTCACAGCATCAAACCCCAATGTAGAATATTCCAGCATTGCATTGGAGCTTCAGTCTGGACTACATGAGTTCCAAGTACTGAGGTGAGGCCACAACCTTCTGACTTATAGAGAGCTGAGCCAGACTGGAACAAGTAGGGATACACGTGGGCCAACTGCACTGTCCTGTTCAGCTCACGTTGATCTGGTTTTAACACCACAGCAAATATACTCACAAGTTATCACCAGCTTCACTGGTTTGCTGCTGTCACTGCTCACCAGGTTACTGGCCGTGCAGATAAACCCTCCACTGTCGCTCCTGTGTACGGGGCTGATTGTCAGAGTGCTATTATCTGCAGACAGTGTGTAACGTGGGGTTACAGGTAACGGGTGTCCAGCCAGTGCCCAGGAATAGGTGGGGAACGATCCCATCGCTGTACATCTCAGTGTCACTGTGTCTTTATTCTCTATCATCATCTCCCCGTCTGGACTCAGGCTGATGCTCACATTGGACACCAGGGCTGTAAGATAAAGCGTTTCATTTCATTCAGACACAAAGCTTAACACAAAGCTGTTCTGATTCACTTTACTAACACTGCACTGCATTTCCGACACTATTAATGTTATTATTATTCACCCTTAATTCAGACATCAAGTGCTCTGGGACGCTATCCTGCGTGAGGGGGGCTATATCAATGTAAGCTGTTGCTGTTATAATAATAAATCTTGCATTTGATATAACCTCATCACGTCTTTGAGGCGTCTCAAAACGCTTCACAGGATATGCTGTAAAGTGCAGTGACTGTATTTTGTGGGCGGAACATGGCAGCCAATTGAGCTCAGCGACATCCCCACAAACAGTCATGGATTGAGTGACCAAATTATTATTATTGTTTTATTTATTTTGACGGGAATTATTACCGCTGGAAAAGTGATCCACCAATCAACTAACAACTGGGTACTTACTGCTGATGAACAGAGGGGCGTGGGTGTGGAGTAAGGAAAATTGCCCAATGTTTCGCCCTGACCCACCGGGAATCAAACCCCCTCACTTGCGAGGCCAGTGCTCTAACCCCTGAGCTACAGGTCTCCGTACATAGTATGCAGTTCTGTAGTTAGCAGCATTGTTATACCGGTAGTTATGCGCTCAACACTCTGGGCCAAGAAAAGTAAAAATTGTGGGGCGATTTGGGCATTTTTGACACATTTTGCAGAAAATGGCGGAAAGTTGATCGGGGATATTGATGAACATGTTTTCACTTTATTGATATAAACGAGACATGAGGAAATAGGACATATTGCATTGTTGGGGAAAAATATAATTGCTTCTTTAACAAGGACTGGGTGGCTTTTTTGGGGGCGTTTGGGGGAGAGAGAAACACACACTCAGAAACACAGAGACATACACACAGACCCAGAGGGAAACTCACACACTCACAGAGAGAGACAAACATGCACAAACACAGAGAGAGACACACACACACTCACAGACTCACAGAGACACACACTCTCACAGATACAGAGAGAGATACATACATTTATATAGCGCCTTTCATGTCGGGAGGATGTCCCATAGATAGAGACACACTCACAGACACAGAGAGACACTCACAAACACATAGAGAGACACACAGGCACACCCACAAACACACAGAGACGGAGACACAGACACACAAAGACTCACAGACGCTCACAAACAGAGATACGCAGACACTCACAAACAGAGATACGCAGACACTCACAAACAGAGATACAGACATACAGAGACACATACAGACACTCACAGAGAGATACACAGACACATAAAGACACACAGACACTCACAAACAGAGGGATCCACAGACACACAGAGGCACACAGACACACACAAACAGACATACACACACACAAACACATGGACACTCACAAACAGAGAGATTCACAGACACACAACACAGAGACACTCACAGAGAGATACACAGATACTCAGACACTCACAGAGAGATATACATACACAGAGACACACACACAGACACTCACAAACATACACACACTCACATACACACGCACACAGAGGCATGCAAACACACTCACAAACTGAGAGAGAGAGACACGCAGACACTCACAATCAGAGAGACACAGATCCACAAAGAGACACTCACAAACAGAGAGACACACACACCACACACACTCACACACACACTCCCTCTCACACACCCTCTCTCACACACCCACATTCACACACACAGACTCACACTCACACACACACAGACAGACAGACACAGACAATCACAACAGCGGTGAATCCTAGTGAAGCCCGTTTGCCACTTGCCTGTCCTGAGCCGAGCGCCCCACAGTGACGTCAGCGAGGCCCGTGGGCCGGAAAGTACATTATTGATTATAGTGGGTTCCGCAAGAAAGGGGCGCATTTTTCTATTGGTCCAACTCACCTTGTATGGTTAGGGCCACTGGTTTGCTGCTGTCACTGCCCACCAGGTTACTGGCCGTACAGATAAACCCTCCACTGTCGCTCCTGTGTACGGGGCTGATTGTCAGAGTGCTATTATCTGCAGACAGTGTGTAACGTGGGGTTACAGGTAACGGGTGTCCATCCAGTGCCCAGGAATAGGTGGGGAACGATCCCATCGCTGTACACCTCAGTGTCACTGTGTCTTCGTTCTCGATAAATATCTCCTTGTCTGGACTCAGGCTGATGCTCACATTGGACAGCAGAGCTGTAAGATAACGCGTTTCATTTCATTCAGAAACTTGTTCAGATTCAATTCACTGACACAAACCTGTTCAGAGTCACTTTGCTGAACCCTACACTTTATTTCTGACGCTGTTTGTTATGATTCACTGTTTATTCAGGTCTCAGTCTGGCTCATTTGGTAGCACAATGTTACGGTTTAAAGCCCCACTCTTGGAGCTCACAGTCCAGGTTTATTGGCTGAATGAATGAAATTGAATGGCCCGGGGGCCGGATGCGGCACATGGGCCACCAGTTGGCCCACCCTGCTCTCACCGATGCTCTGAAGCAGGGTGGCTGCCGTGGGCCGGATTCCCCTATTTGTCAAAGATCCACGAGCCACATCCAACCTGAGGCCATTTCCACTCCCTCCCTCCCTCCCTCCCTGGGCAACGGCAGGAGCTGATGGTTGGGAAGACCCAACGACCAGAGCCTTTACTGCAGCCTATCAGGAAGGCAGAGCAAGTGTGATCCTGCTCCTCTCTCTCCTCCTCTCTCCCCCCCACTCACTCTCCCACCCCACTCTCTCATCCCCTCTCCCTCTCCCCCTCTCACTGTCTCTTGCCTTTTCTTTCCAACTCTCTCCCCCTTCTCTTTACCCCTCTCTCCCCCTTATCTTTCATGCCTCCCTCTCTCCTCCCCCCTCTCTCTCCCCTCTCTCTCTCCCAATCACTCTCTCCCAATCTGCAGTGGCAGGAGCCCAAGGACACAGTTGGTAAGAGACTCATTTACCTTCCTGACAGACTGCAGTAAGGGCTCTGCTCGCTGGATTCTCACAAACGCCGCCTCCTGCCACTGCCCTGTGAGGACATTTACCAGGGAGGGAGGGAGGGAGGGGGGTTGGGGAAGTTGAAACATTGCAAATGGTCGCCGGCTGCACAAAATCACCTCCGGGCAGCTGACAGCCCACGTACCGCCTGTTGGACCACACTGAGCTGAATGAATAAAATGAAATCGGTCCGGGGGGCCGGATGTGGCCCACAGGCCACCAGTTGACCATCCTGCTCTAACTAATACCCTTCAGGACTCCACAGGGCTCCCTATCTCACACACACTAAACTCTGTGCCCCCATCACACCCTCCTGTTTGTCCCTCGGCCCCTCCGCTCCATCATTGGTGGCTGTATTTTCAGCTGCTACGCCCTGAAACTCTGTCACTCTCTCCCTGTCAATCCCTCCGTCTCACCCTCTCGTTCCCCACCTTCAAATCCCACCTAATATCCTTCCTTTTTGATTGTGTTTACCGTCACCTCCCCCCTCCCTCTCCCAGCGGCTCGGGGTCAGATTCTTCCCCTATCAAGCGCTCCCGGACGCTACCCCACGTGAGGGGTGCGGTGTAAATGCAAGTTGTTGTTGTTGTTTACTCACTGTGAACACGCAGTTGTAAAGCCGCTGTGGCTGATCCGTGGTTTAACTCAATCACAGTCACTGAGTACGAACCGGAATCAGTCGGAGTCACTGTGTCCAGACGTAGAGTGGCATTGTTGGGGTAAAGCTCAGCCCGACCCTGGTAGTCTCCATAGTACTTCACTGATGTTCCCTGTGCTGCTGCGATTGTGGAGCTGGTGTTGACTTTCCATGATATGCTAAAACTTCCCTGTTCACTGGGCATTACCAGGAAGTACACAGATTGTCCGGCTGTGGCTTCTATCTGACTCTCAGTGACGGTCAGACTGAAAGCTCCCACCTGCTCTGTAATACATAACACACACAACAGTCAATCACCAAATCTCACAGTGTAATAATACTATTAATAATAATCCTGTAGCTCAATGGTTCGAGCACTCGCCTCACAAACGAGAGGACCCGGGTTTGATCCCCGGGCGGAAGGGCGAAATGTTGGGCAGTTTCCTTACTTCACACACACACCTCTGTTTGCTTCGCAGTAAGTAGGAACCCGGTTGTTAACCGATTAGAGGCTTTTTCGGGATAACAATTCCTTCAAAAAAGTAATAAATTGATGACTCAAACAATGACTGTTCGTGGGCACTACAGTGCACACTGTATAAATGAATAATTATTAATATTATATTAATAGTCCTTGCATTTGATACAGTGCCTTATCACGTCTTTGAGACGTCTGACAGCGCTTCACACGATGTACTGTAAAGTGAATTATTGTATATTTTGTGGGTGAAACTTGGCAGCCAATTGCACACAACAGCGACCCACAGAGCCGTGGATTTTTTTTATTTTGACCGAATTATTATCCCCAGAGAAGCGATCCGCCAACCGACCAACAAGTGGTTCGTACTTATTGTTCGGTAAATAGAGGCGCGTGTGTGTGGAGTAAGGAAACTTGCCCAACCTCTCGCCCTGTGCCGCCCGGGAATCAAACCCAGGACTCTCACTTGCGAGGCGAGTGCTCCAACCACTGAGCTACAGGACTCCACAATTCAGAACAATTCTGTGGAAACACGACCTCAGTGAGAGAGTGGGAAACAGGATCCCGAAGGAGACAGACGGCGGAAGCAGAAAATGTCATTTATTTCAAGATCAAATTGGATAGATTTCTGCAAGAAAATAATATCTCAGGATACAGTATATAGACACACACACAGACACACAGAAGTAGACACAGACAGAGAGACACACATACACAGTATATAGTTTGTGACACGACATGTCTAGCGACTGCCAGGATGGTGGGAGATGAACGAGATGGACCTTTGCTTATGTTGTTACCAGTAACTCACCCAAATTAGTGACCAGAATGAGCAGAGCAGCCACCAACATCCTCGCGGCTGGAAACCACCACATATACACGTTAGGGAGAGAGACAGAGACAAACTGAATATGGGCTGTCACCTGAACACAGGGCAGAGTCTGCTGTTAATCATTACTGTTACTGTAGAGAGACCCTGACACTGGCTCTAATGGCACCCGGTGCACTTTCACTTTGTCAGGAATTAATATGTTAATTTATGAGATAAATAGTTTTGCTTCCTGTAAGACACATTTTACGCCCTCACTATTTTTAATATTATTATAATAATAGTCCTTGCGTTTGACACAGCGCCTTATCACGTTTTCGAGACTTCTCAAAGTGCTTCACAGGATACACTGGGAAATGTAGTGACTGTGTTTTGTGGGAGAAACGCAGCAGCTAATTCCGCAAAGCAATGTTCCACAAACAGTAGAGGATTGAGTGCCTTAATAGTTACAAAAAATTTTGAATAATCCTTCCATCTGATACAGCGCCTTATCACATCTTCGGAATGTCTCAAAGCGCTTCACAGGATACGCTGTAAAGTGGAGTGACTGTGTGTTTTGGAGGCTGAAACATGGCAGCCAATTGCACACAGCGACGTCTCCACAAACAGTTGTGGATTGAGTGACCACATTATTGTTATTTTTTTGAAGTTATTATTACCCCCAGAAACGCATTCCGCCAATCGACTAACCCCCGGGTTCCTACTGACTGCTGGTAAACAGGGGCGTGAGTAAAAAGTGTGTGTGTGGGGGGGTAAGGAAACTTGCTTAAGGTTTTGCCCTGACACACCTGGGAATCGAACCCAGATCCTTTCGCTTGCGAGGCGAGCGCTCTAACCCCTGAGCTACAGGGACTCCACAAGATACTCACTGAGACACAAGTTTAGTGTGTGTTTTGTGATGTGTTCAGTGACTGTTTAGGGATGAGTTCAGGGTCATGTTTCGTTACCCCATCACCCCCATCTTCGCCCGGCTCCACTGACTCCCCATCACTGAGAGAGTACAGTTCAAGCTCCTGGTCCTCACCTTCGAAGCACTCCATGGCCTCACTCCCCCCCACCTCTGTGAACTCCTAACTAACCCCCTACCAACCTGTCCACTCTCTCCACTCAGTAGCCTCCGGCCGGCTTCACATCCCCCACCCGCCTCCCCCACAATTGGCTGTCGGGCCTTCAGCCTCTCCACCCCCTCTCTCGCCTCCTTCAAGGCCAGTTTCAAGATCTTCCTCTTCGACCATCACACCTTTGGTCACCATCCTACCTTCCCCCTCCCCGTCCTCTACCCTTCCTGATCCCAACCCCCATCCTGGGTATAAACCTCTGACTGTCCAGCGCCTTGGGACGTCCTCCTGACATGAACATAATAATCATTGCATTTGATATCGAGCCTTATCATGTCGTCGTGACATCTCATTCATAGAACAGACTGTAGAGTGGAGTGACTGTGTATTTTGTAGCCAAAACATGGCAACCAATTATCATGTCATTGAAGTGGCTCAAAGAGCTTAGCAGGATATGCTACTGTAAAGTGTAGTGACTGTGTGTTCAGTGACTGTGTAGTGACTGTCAGGGTTAGTGTGCACCCCACCACACTCCTAACCTCTGACACAAGATGGAATTATTGCGGTCAAACCAAAGGAATTTTATTACCAGAAGAAGATAACAAGAGAGAAATGTGGAGAGACGAGAGAAGCTGAGATTGTTCTCCTTAGAGCAAGAGGAGGATAGGGGAGATCTAATATAGGTGTTCAAAATGATGAGGGGTTTTGATAGAGTAAATAGGGAGAAACTGTTTCCACTGGTGTGTGGGTCAGTAACGGGAGAACATAGATTTAATATAATTGGGAAAAGAACCAGAGGGGAGACGAGGGGATATTTACGCAGCGATTTGTCATGGTCTGGAACGCACTGCCGGAAAGGCTTATGAAATCAGATTCCATAGTAGCTTTCAAAAGGGAATTGGACAGGGACTTGAAAAGGAAAATATGCAGAGATACGGGGTAGGAGCGGGGGAGTGGGACTGATTGGGCAGCTCTTTCAAAGAACCGGCACAGACACGATGGGCCGAATGGCCTCCGCCTGTGTTGTAAGATTCTGTGATTCCATAATAATAATAATAATCCTTGCATTTGATATAGCGCCTTAACACGTCTTCGAGATCTCAGAGCTCTTCACAGGATATACTGTGAAGTGAATTGACTGTATATTTGTGGACGAAACGCGGCAGTCAATTGCGCACAGCAGTGTCCCACAAACAGTCGTGGATCGAAGTAGCCAATATATTATTTTTTGTAAGGATTATTACCCCCAGAAAAGTAATCCACCAGTCGACTAACAACCGTATTCTTACTTACTGCAGTGTAAACAGAGGCGTGTGCGTGTGAAATAAGGACATTATGCCCCGACGCGCCCAGGAATCGAACAAAGGTCCTCTCGCTTGTGAGGCGAGTGCTGTAACCACTGAGCTGCAGGACTCCAACGATAAAACCCCTGACAGTTAACCACCCGGAGCTCAGTGAGCTGTGAGTTAGGAATGTCTGGAGTTAATCGCTGTACAGCTCAAAGGTTTCAGTTGGTTTGAAGCACTAATTTCATGTGGAAGTGAAAGCCATTGTAAGATTAGCTCACTCATAAAGCTGGCTCGTGGCCTCAGATTCCTGTGCCTTGCCTGCAGTTGGCTGGGATAATAATGGTAATAATAATAATAATAATAATAATCCTTACATCTTCTGGACGTCTCAAAGCGCTTCACAGAATAGTGAATTGACTGCATAAATTTGTGGGCGAAATGCGGAGGCCAATTACGCACAGCAGTGTCCCACAAACAGTCGTGGATTGGAATGACCAATTTATTATTGTTTTTTTTGAGGGATTATTATCAGGGTGTGGAGTAAGGAAACTTGTCCAAGGCCTCGCCCGGCCAGGAATCGAACTCAGGTCTCTCACTAATAATAATAGTAATAATAGTAATTCTTGCAAAAAAGACAAATTGGTCACTTCAATCCGCAACTGTTTGTGGGGCACCTCTGTGCACGTGCAATTAATTGGCTGCTGACTAACAAGCGAGGTCCTACTTACTGCTTGGTAAACAGAGGCAAACGCGTGTGCGTGTGTATGTCTGTGTGTGCATGTCTGTGTGTGTATGTCTGTGTGTGCGTTTCTGTGAGTATGTGTGTGTGTGAGTCTGTGTCTGCGTATGTGTCTGTGTGTGTGTGTGTGGAGTAAGGAAACTTGCCCTACGTTTCACCCTGAATACTGAACTCCTGGTAAATAACATTAACTTCTCAGTGAGCCGATAAGTCACAACAACAACAACTTGTATTTACACAGCGCCCTTTATGAGGGTAGCGTCTCGGAGTGGTGGAGCCTGACGCAGAGCCAGTTGGAGGGGAGAGACAGGCAGAAGGTGACCGTGAGCATGGTCAAAGAGAAAGATTTTCAGTCTTGATCTAAAAGAGGGGGAAGGATAGGAGAGGGGAGGAAAGGGGGAAAGGCGGAGGATCGGTGGAGAGAGCTCCAAAGTCTGACAATACGACCCCCCATGATGGATCAGAGGGCACGAGGGACACGCAGGAGGCCGGAGGCAGCCGAGAGGAGGCAGTGGGTAGTGGGTTGGGGGGTCAGCAGGTCGGAGAGAGAGGTAGGGAGGTGCCAGAGCCTGAAGAGATTTGTAGATGATTGAAAGGATCTTGAAATCGATCTACGTTGTCACAGCTATCTACTTCCTGGTGCCATTACGACGTAAATTGTGATAAATATCTTTTTGGTGCTTTCCAAGGTCCTGAAACACAATGCAGATCGGACAGACCATTACTAACAACATTTTACACTGAACCTTTCACATCAGGAGGACGTCCCAAGGACCTGGACAGTCAGGGATTTGGATCTGAGCTGTGGGTTGGGATCAGGACGGGGTGGATGGTGGCGAGTAGGGTTAGGAAGGTGACCAGGTTGAGAGGAAAGTCTTGTGACAGGCCTTGAAGGAGGTGAGGGAGTGATGGGGTGGGATGGAGGGACTGTGGGATGGAGTTCCAGAGGGTGGGGCAGAGTAACTGAAGGCCCAACCGATGGTGGGGCAGGTGAGGCGGGGGATGTGAAGCAGGCCGGAGCCCGCTGAGCAGAGAGAGCGGACAGGTTGTTAGGGGGTATGGGGAGCTGCAGAGTTAGTTCTGGATGATCTGCAGTTTGTAGAGGGAGACGTTGGGAAGGCCGACAAGCAGGGAGTGGGCAAAGTCAAGCCTGTTTGTGGTGAACACATGGATGAGGTTCTCGTTGGTCTGCGGTGAGAGACAGTGGCGGAGCCGGGCAATATGGCGGAGGTGGGGAAGGCATAGCAGGTCATGGTATGGATGAGGGGATGAAGGACAGTTTAGGGTCGTAAAGGACAGAGGTGGGACAGCAAGAGACTGAGCCGGGCTGACACACTGTCCGTGTCAGCCATTTGTTTCCTCACCATGTAAGGGCCTGAATCCTTCTGGGAGACATTGGCAGAGGAAGCCTAAAATATAACCAAACACAGTTTAGCTACTCATTAGCAATGTCGTTAGCAATAAATAATAATAACCATTGCATTTCATACAGTGCCTTATCACGTCTTCGTAACATCTCAAAGCGCTTCACAGGATACACGGTAAAGAGTAGTGACTGTGTGGTTTCATAACAATAATAATCGTTGCATTTGATACAGTGCCTTATCACGTCTTTGAGTCGTATCAAAGGGGAGCCAATTGCCTAAGGTTTTGCCCTGTCCGGGAAACAAAACCGGATCCTCTCGCTTGAGAGGCGAGGACTCTAACCACTGAGCTACAGGACTGCACAGGACTTACTCTGACATCAATGGTCTCGTAGTGTGGTTCACCCTCTGTCTCTTGCTGTGTTTTGGCTGGAAAATAAACAACAACTTGTTTATTCAAAGGCACAGCCTCTGATGGTGGGATGGAGGGAACGAGGGACAAATAGGAGGCCGGTGTGGGGGCGGTGGGGGGTGAGCAGGTCAGAGAGGTAGGGAGGTGCCAGGGCATGAAGGGGTTTCAAAACGAGTGAGAGGATCTTGAAATCGTAGAAAATCTTGAAAATATACAAGAGTTTGTACATTTGCTGAACCGGTGAACTTGGGGAGAAACGGAGAGGAGGCACTGATAGAGAGACAGAGAGAGAGAGAGAGATTGGTAGTGAGAGATAGGGTTAAAGCCTGACAGAAAGACAAAGAGGGAGCGATTGAAAGAGAGAGGTGGAGATGGATGGATAGAGACTGATAGAGAGTGAGATGGAGGGTGATAGAGAGGGGGGATAGAGGCTGATAGAAAGGAGATGGTGAAATGGAGCGGGAGAGACTGATAGAGAGAGAGAGAGAGATAGAGGGGGAGAGACTGATGGAGGAAGAGTGAGACGGAGAGGGTAGAGACTGATTGAGTTTGTGACGGAGGTGGATAGAGACTAATAGAGGGAGTGTGAGACAGAAGGGAAGAGACTGATAGAGAGACATGAAAGGGGAGAGACTGGGAGTGAGAGAGAGTGAGACGGAGTGGGTAGAGACAGATAGAGTGGAGTCCTGTAGCTCAGTGGTTAGAGCACTCACTTTACAAGCGAGAGACCTGAGTTCAATTCCAGTCAGGGCGAAACCTTGGGCAAGTTTCCTTACTCCACACGCCTAATAATAATCCCCCCCCCCAAAAATAAACAATAATAAAAAATTGGTCATTTCCAATCTACGACTGTTTGTGGGACATTGCTGTGCGCAATTGGCTGCCGCGTTCGCCCACAAATATACAATCAATTCACTTTACAGTGTGTTCTGTGAAGCGCTTTGGGACGTCCTCCCGACATGAAAAGCGCTATATCAAATGCAAGGATTATTATTATTATTATTATAGAGAGAGACGGAGGGGTAGAGACTGACAGAGAGAGATGGAGGGGGAGAGACTGATAGAGAGAGATGAAGGGGGAGAGACTGATAGTGAGGGAGAGTGAGACGGAGGGGCTAGAGACAGATAGAGAGAGACGGAGGGGTAGAGACTGGCAGAGAGAGAGGGCAGTGAGAGGGTGAGTGGCTGAGGGGGGTCTGGGCTGGTATATAAACTACAGAACATGAAGGTGAAAGGTTTTCCTGTGTATATACGGCCTCACCTTCCTTACGTTTCCTGTAAACGTACACCACAGCGAGTGTTGCAATGACCACCACAGCCACAGCCCCCACTATTGTCCCCACTATCAGGGCCACATTCACTGCGGAGAGAAACACCTTCACTGTCTCTCTATTAGATTATACTCTCGTAACATAGAGACCACAGCACAGACCTCATGAACATCATATCAATCCTCGCATTTGATACAGCGCCTTATCACGTCGTTGTAAAGTGTCGTAACTGTATTTTGTCGGCGGAACACAGCAGCCAATTGCGCACAGCGGTGACCCACAAACAGTCGTGGATTGATTGACCAGATTCTTTGTTTTTTTTTGGAGGGATTATGACCCCAGAAAGTGAACCGTCAATTGACTAACAGCGGGTTCCTACCTACTGCTGATAAACAGAGGTGCACATCTGTGTGTGTATGTGTGTCTATGTGTGTCTGCGTGTGTGTGTGTGTGTGTGTGTCTGTGGGTGTTGTCTGCGGTGGGGTGTATATGTCTGTCTGTGAGTTTGTGTGTGTCTGTGACTGTGTAAGTGTGTGTGTCTGTGTGTGTGTCTGTGTGTGTGTCAACATATCATAACTTACCTCCGCCTTTCAAAGTCACGTCAAATTGGAAGAGTTCTCTCCCATTGCGTTAGTGACACGGCATTGATATGTGCCCTGATCGGTTGCCTGGAATTTACTGATGAGCAGTTTAGAGAAGGTTAGTCCTGAGGTGATGTTGAACTTGTCGTCAGAGCCAGTGATGGAGTTGTCTTCCTTCGACCATGTAAAGTGTGCGGGCAGCAGGCCAGGGTCTGACACCCGCACTGTGTCTGTCAGTGACACGTCTAAGGTCACATCTGCCTCCTTCCCCACTTCCACCTGAGGCTCAGACCCTGACGCTCTCTGGGGTTTATCTGTATAACAGCACAGACGGCGTTCAGCAAAACAGCAACACAGTCACCCCAACAGTCAGTAGGAATAATAATAATCCTCCCGTTTGATACAGCGCCTTATCACGCCATCGAGACATCTTAAATCCCATCTAAAGACCTTCCTCTTCGACCAACCGCACCTTCAGCCACCCTCCCACCCCCAACCACCACCACCCCCTGCCCTCCACCCCTCCTGACCCCAACTCCCAGCTCAGGTCCAAAAACCCAGACTGTGCAGCGTCCCGGGACGTGTTTGCGACGTGAAGAGTGCTATACAAGTGTAATTTGTTATTGTCGCTGCTGTTCAGCCCTCAAGTCCTCACCAATGACTATAGAGCATTGACTGTCAGAGACAACATGGCGTCCAACACATGTGAAGATCTCTCGGGAGCTGAGCTGATCCTTTGTGATGGTGACATTCCCCTCGTTTGTCCCATTGACAATCGTCTGTCCGACCTTCAGCTGAAGGACAGTGTCTGGCACCCCACCAGCCCAGGAGCACATCAACCCCACTGCTGTTCCTTTATCCGCTGCTCCGCATGTGATCTGCTGTGTGGGAGTCCCTTGAACAAGGCAAAGACAAACAGTCCAGTTATTGGCTCCACCTTGAGTTGTCCCCACCCTCGCCCGGCTCCACTGGCTCCCCATCCCTCAGAGGATACTGTTCAAGATCCTGATCCTCAACTATCAAAGCCCTCAATGGCCTCACTTCTCCCTCCCTTCCTCTGTGACCTCCTAACCCCTGACCAAGCTGTCCACTCCCTCCGCTCATTAGGCTCCAACCTACTCCATGTCCCTTCCCGGCCCACTCCATCATCGGCGTTCTGCCCTAATTTGCCCCATCCTATGAAACTCCCATAACCGCTCCGCCTCGCCCTCTCCCTCGCCTTCTTCAAACCTGTGCGATCTACTGTGCCTTCGTCACCCTCCTACACCCATCTCCCTGCCCTCCAACCCTCCTGATAGCAACCCCCAGCTCAGGTGTGGGTCCCTGACTGTCCAGCGCCTTGGGACATCCTCCTGACGTGAAAGCCACTGTGTAAATGCCATGTGTTGTTATTTAGACAGTGCCAACTTTGACTGAGATCTAACTCACTGTACACGAGGATTGAAACCTTCTCCGTGCGGCTAATCGTGGTGTAATCGCTCTCCACATTGCAAGTGTAATCCCCGCTGCTTTGGAACGTGAGGCTCTCTATAGGCAGCTGTGAGGTGTTGCCGGCAATGACCGCGGTGTTATGTGTCCACGTGTAGTTACACTCTGGGAAACATTTCGTCTGACAGTTGAGTGTCACTAAATCTCCCTCCTTCCCACAGTACTGTCCTGGGAAGAAGCTGTCACATAGCTCCAGCCCGATCACTTCAACTGTGGGTGGATCAGGGCCATCTGAAAGAAAAAGCATTAAACTATGACATAGATAGATAAATGGATGGCAGATGATAGTGTGAGAGAAACAGCCTTTTTACATGTATCACAGGAACCTGGGAATCTTGTTTGACCCTGAACTGTCCTTTCTCCCCCACATCCGCGCCATGACAGCACTGCCTACCGCCACCTCCGCAATATTGCCAGACTCCGCCACCTCCGCAATATTGCCAGACTCCGCCACTGTCTCAGCCATCAGGCTTCCGAAGCCTTCACCCACGCATTCATCACCTCAAGGTTTGATTACGTGAACTCCCTCCTCATCGGCCTTCCCAACTCTTCCCTTCAGAAACTGCAGATCATCCAAAACTCTGCAGCTCGTGTACTCTCGTGCACCCGGCTCCGTGACCCCATCACTCCCACCCTCGCCGACTCCACTGGCTCCCCATCCCTCAGAGGATGGAATACCAGATGCTTGTCCTCACCTTTAAGGCCATCCATGGCCTTGCCCCCTCCTATCTCTCTGACCTGCTGACTCCCTACCAACCTGCCCGCGTCCTCCGTTCAGTGTGCTCCGGCTGCTCCATGTCTCCTACCCGGCCCATCGCTGGCCGGGCTTTCAGCTTCTCTGCCCCCACACTCTGGAACTCCATCCCACGGTCCCTTGGCCTCGCTTCCTCCTTGGCCTCCTTCAAGTCCGGTCTCAAAACCCTTTTCTTTATCGAGCTTTTGGTCTCCCTCCCACCTCTCTGCCTTCCCTCACCCCTCCCCCACCCCTCCCACATGCTCGGGCCCCGACACCTGACTGTTCAGCACTTTGGAACGTTTTCCTGACGTGAAAGGCGCTCTATAAATGTAATTTTGTTGATGTTGTTGCTGTTGTTCTGGCCTTTTGTGGGTCCCTCCTGAGCGCAATTGGCTGCGCGTTTCACACATAAAATATACAGTGAATTCACTTTACAATATATTCTGTGAAGCGATTTGAGACGAGGTAAGGCACGTTTTTTGGATGTGTTAATACCTCTGGAAAAGTGATCCGGCAATCGACTAACAAGGGTTCCCGCTTACTGTTAGGCAAACAATAGTGTGTGTGGGGGTGAATGTGGGGGTGTGTGGGTGGAGTAAGGAAAGTTGCGTTAGGTGTCGTCCTGACCCGCCCAAGAATCAAACCCAGGTCCTCTCGCTTGATAAGGCGATATATCAAGTGCTAGAATGATTATTATTCTGATGATCATGACTATGATCATTATTATTGTGATTATCATTACTATTATTGCAGTTCAGGTCACGTGAGGCTGACTTTGGGTCAAGGAGTTTAAAGTGAGTCGGGGTTCCTGCTCCTGGTCCCTAACCTCCCTCTCGGGCTCAGGTGTGTGTGTTGCAGTCTAGTGAGGAGATTAGGTTTGTCTGTGGGGCCCTCTACAGTCAAGTGGCCGATTGATACTCAAATGGTGATGAGATCTTTAACCTGAACAGACAGATAGTTTAACGTCTCATCCAAACAACGGCTCTTCCAATGATAATAACAATAGTGGAGTCCTGTAGCTCAGTGTTTCGAGCAAGTGAGAGTCTTGGGTTCGATTCCCAGCAGGTGGGGGAATGCTTGGGCAACTTTCCTTACTCCACACGCCTGATAATAATCCCTCAAGAAAAAAAAAACAATAATAAATTGGTTACTTCAATCTATGGCTGTTTGTGGGGATGTCGCTGTGCGCAACTGTCTGCCACGTTTCACCCACAAATATACAGTCAATTCACTTTACAGTATATTCTGTGAAGCGTTTCAGTCGTCCAGAAGACGTGAAAAGCGCTGTATCAAATGCAAGGATTATTATATTATTGATAGAGCAAAATGTCGGCCAAGTTTCCCTACTCCCAAACACACCCTCTGTTTACTGAGCAGTAATTAGGAACCCGGTTATTAGTCAATTGGTGGGAATCAAACCAAAGTCCTCTCACTTGCGAGGTGAGGGCTCCAACCACTACAGGACCCCACTGTTTGTTCCTCTATTCACAGCATCAAACCCCAATGTAGAATATTCCAGCATTGCATTGGAGCTTCAGTCTGGACTACATGAGTTCCAAGTACTGAGGTGAGGCCACAACCTTCTGACTTATAGAGAGCTGAGCCAGACTGGAACAAGTAGGGATACACGTGGGCCAACTGCACTGTCCTGTTCAGCTCACGTTGATCTGGTTTTAACACCACAGCAAATATACTCACAAGTTATCACCAGCTTCACTGGTTTGCTGCTGTCACTGCTCACCAGGTTACTGGCCGTGCAGATAAACCCTCCACTGTCGCTCCTGTGTACGGGGCTGATTGTCAGAGTGCTATTATCTGCAGACAGTGTGTAACGTGGGGTTACAGGTAACGGGTGTCCAGCCAGTGCCCAGGAATAGGTGGGGAACGATCCCATCGATGTACATCTCAGTGTCACTGTGTCCTTATTCTCTATCATCATCTCCCCGTCTGGACTCAGGCTGATGCTCACATTGGACACCAAGGCTGTAAGATAAAGCGTTTCGTTTCATTCAGACACAAAGCTTAACACAAAGCTGTTCTGATTCACTTTACTAACACTGCACTGCATTTCCGACACTGTTAGTGTTATTATTATTCACCCTTAATTCAGACATCAAGTGCTCTGGGACGCTATCCTGCGTGAGGGGGGCTATATCAATGTAAGCTGTTGTTGTTATAATAATAAATCTTGCATTTGATATAACCTCATCACGTCTTCGAGGCGTCTCAAAACGCTTCACAGGATATGCTGTAAAGTGCAGTGACAGTATTTTGTGGGCGGAACACGGCAGCCAATTGAGCTCAGCGACATCCCCACAAACAGTCATGGATTGAGTGACCAAATTATTATTATTGTTTTATGTATTTTGACGGGAATTATTACCTCCGGAAAAGTGATCCACCAATCAACTAACAACTGGGTACTTACTGCTGATGAACAGAGGGGCGTGGGTGTGGAGTAAGGAAAATTGCCCTATGTTTCGCCCTGACCCACCGGGAATCAAACCCCCTCACTTGCGAGGCCAGTGCTCTAACCCCTGAGCTACAGGTCTCTGTACATAGTATGCAGTTCTGTAGTTAGCAGCATCGTTATACCGGTAGTTATGCGCTCAACACTCTGGGCCAAGAAAAGTGCAGAAATATTTGTAAAAATTGTGGGCATTTTTGACAAATTTTGCAGAAAATGGCGGGGAGTTGAACGGGGATATTGATGAACGTGTATTCACTTTATTGATATAAACGAGACATGAGGAAATAGGACATATTACATTGTTGGGGAAAATATAATTGCTTCTTTAACAAGGACTGGGTGGCTTTTTTGGGGGCGTTTGGGGGAGAGAGAAACACACACTCAGAAACACAGAGACATACACACAGACCCAGAGGGAAACTCACACACTCACAGAGAGAGACAAACATGCACAAACACAGAGAGAGACACACACACACTCACAGACTCACAGAGACACACACTCTCACAGATACAGAGAGAGATACATACATTTATATAGCGCCTTTCATGTCGGGAGGATGTCCCATAGAGAGAGACGCACTCACAGACACAGAGAGACACTCACAAACACATAGAGAGACACACAGAGGCACACCCACAAACACACAGAGACGGAGACACAGACACACAAAGACTCACAGACGCTCACAAACAGAGATACGCAGACACTCACAAACAGAGAGACACTGACACACTGAAACACACAGACACTCATAAACAGAAATACAGACATACAGAGACACATACAGACACTCACAGAGAGATACACAGACACATAAAGACACACAGACACTCACAAACAGAGGGATCCACAGACACACAGAGGCACACAGACACACACAAACAGGCATACACACACACAAACACATGGACACTCACAAACAGAGAGATACACAGACACACAACACACAGACACTCACGGAGAGATACACAGATACTCAGACACTCACAGAGAGATACACAGACACAGAGACACACACACAGACACTCACAAACATACACACACTCACATACACACGCACACAGAGGCATGCAAACACACTCACAAACTGAGAGAGAGAGACACGCAGACACTCACAATCAGAGACACAGATCCACAAAGAGACACTCACAAACAGAGAGTCACACACGCACTCTCACACACACTCACACACACACTCCCTCTCACACACCCTCTCTCACACACCCACACCCTCTCTCACACACACAGACTCACACACACAGACTCACACTCACACACACACAGACAGACAGACAGACAATCACAACAGCGGTGAATCCTAGTGAAGTCCGTTTGCCGCTTGTGTGTCCGGAGCCGAGCGCCCCACAGTGACGTCAGCGAGGCCCGAGGGCCGGAAAGTACATTATTGATTATAGTGGGTTCCGCAAGAAAGGGGCGCACTTTTCTATTGGTCCAACTCACCTTGTATGGTTAGGGCCACTGGTTTGCTGCTGTCACTGCCCACCAGGTTACTGGCCGTGCAGATAAACCCTCCACTGTCGCTCCTGTGTACGGGGCTGATTGTCAGAGTGCTATTAGCTGCAGACAGTGTGTAACGTGGGGTTACAGGTAACGGGTGTCCATCCAGTGCCCAGGAATAGGTGGGGAACAATCCCATCGCTGTACATCTTAGTGTCACTGTGTCTTTATTCTCGATAAATATCTCCTTGTCTGGACTCAGGCTGATGCTCACATTGGACAGCAGAGCTGTAAGATAACGCGTTTCATTTCATTGAGAAACTTGTTCAGATTCACTTCACTGTCACAAACCTATTCGGAGTCACTTTGCTGAACCCTACACTTTATTTCTGACGCTGTTTGTTATGATTCACTGTTTATTCAGGTCTCAGTTTGGCTCATTTGGTAGCACAATTTTATGGTTTAAAGCCACACTCTGGGAGCTCACAGTCCAGGTTTATTGGCTTAATGAATGAGATGAAATGGGCCCGGGGGCCGGATGCGGCCCGTGGGCCACCAGTTGGCCCACCCTGCTCTCACCGATGCTCTGAAGCAGGGTGGCTGCCGTGGGCCGGATTCCCGTTTGTCAAAGATCCACGAGCCACATCCAACCTGAGGCCATTTCCACTCCCTCCCTCCCTCCCTGGTCAGCGGCAGGAGCTGATGGTTGGGAGACCCAGCGACCAGAGCCTTTACTGCAGTCTGTCAGGAGAGCAGAGCAAATACGTCGCTGCTGCTCACTCTCCCCCTCCCTCTCCCCTCCTCTCTCTCTCTCCCGCCCCCCCCCCCCCCCTCTCTTGCTCCCAAGATCCACTGGCACTTGCCTGGCTTTCCTATCACACACTAAACTCTGTACCCCATCACCCCAGCCCTCGCCAGGCCCCACTGGCTCCCTATCACACACTAAACTCTGTACCCCATCACCCCCGCCCTCGCCAGGCCCCACTGGCTCCCTATCACACACTAAACTCTGTACCCCATCAACTCCCGCCCTCGCCAGGCCCCACTGGCTCCCTATCACACACTAAACTCTGTACCCCATCACCCCCGCCCTCGCCAGGCCCCACTGTTTCCGTATCACCAAACAGATCGATTTTGAGATCATCTCACTCGTTTTCAAATCCCTTCATGCCATGGTACTGCCCTAACTCTCCGACCTGCTCACCCACCCACTGCACCTCCAGGTGCCTCCTCTTGGCTGGTTCCATCTTGGTCTTGTTTGTCCCTCGTCCCCTCCACTCCACCATCAATGGCTGTGTCTTCAGCCACTGCGTCACTTTCTCCCTCAAACCCGACGCCTCGCCCCTCCCTCCCCACCTTCAAATCGCACCTAAAGACCTTCCAGTTTGATCGTGTTTACAGTCACCGCCTTCCTCTCCCTCTCCCCCCCCAGGTCGGGGTCAGACTCGGCCCCTGCAAAGTGCTCCGGGACACTCCGCGTGAAGGGCGCTGTTGTTGTTTACTCACTGTGAACACGCAGTTGTAAATCTGCTGAGGCTGCTCCGAGGATTAAGTCATACACAGACACTGAGTACGAACCGGAATCAGCCGGAGTCACTGTGTCCAGACGTAGAGTGGCATTGTTGGGGTAAAGCTCAGCCCGACCCTGGTAGTCTCCATAGTACTTCACTGTTGTTCCCTGTGCTGTTGCGATTGTGGAGCTGGTGTTGACTTTCCATGTTATACTAAAACTTCCCTGTTCACTGGGCATTACCAGGAAGTACACAGATTGTCCGGCTGTGGCTTCTATCTGACTCTCAGTGACGGTCAGACTGAAAGCTCCCACCTGCTCTGTAATACAAAACACACACAACAGTCAATCACCAAATATCACAATGTAATAATAATATTCATCCTTGCATTTGATCTAACGTCTTATCACGTCTTTGAGATGTCTCAAAGCGCTTCACAGAATTACTGTCAGGTGAATTGACTATATTTGTGGACAAAAGTTTTGAAGGAATTATTACCCCCAGAAAAGCAATCCGTCAATCGACTAACAACCAGGTTTCTACTTACTTCTGGTAAACAGAGGCGTGTGGGTACGTGTGAAGTAAGGAAACTTGCCCAACGTTTCCCCCAGAGGGGAAGCGAACCCAGATCTCTCACTTACAAGGTGAGCGCTCTTACCACTGAACTACAGAACTGCACAATTCAGAAAATGTCATTTGTTTAAGATGAAAGATAGATTTAGATAGATTTCTGCTAGAAAATAATAGCTTGGGATACAGTAGATAGACCCACAGATACACACAGAAAGACATAGAGAGAGAGGAGACAGACACATACACACACACCGAGACAGAGACACACACACAGAGGCAGAGAGAGGTACCATTTGTGTAGCGACTTTCACGTCGGGAGGATATCTCATAGATAGACACACTCACAGACACAGAGAGACACTCACACACATAGAGAGACACACACAGGCACATCCACAAACACACAGAGAAGGAGACACAGACACACAACGACACACAGACACTCACAAACAGAGAGATACACAAACAGACACTCACAAACAGAGAGATACACAGACAAACAGAGACACACATAGACACTCACAAATGCATATAGAGAGACACACACACACACTCATACACACGCGGACACAGAGACACACACACACTCACAAACTGAGAGAACACACACACTCACAAACAGAGACACAGACACACACACTGAGAGACAGAAACACAGACACACACAGAGAGCGACACATACACAGAGACACACAGAGAGACACATACAGAAAGACAGAGATACACGCGGATAGATAGAGAAACATACCGAGAGACAGACACCCCCCAGATAATCACACACACACACACAGACAGAGACACATACTGTGAGACAGACACACACATCCAGACAGAGATATATATATACACACACAGTGGGAGACACACACAGTATATAGTTTGGGACACGACATGTGTAGCGACTGCCACGATGGTGGGGGATGAACGAGATGGACCTTTGCTTATGTTGTTACCAGTAACTCACTCAGATTAGTGACCAGAATGAGCAGAGCAGCCACCAACATCCTCGCGGCTGGAAACCACCACATATACACGTTAGGGAGAGAGACAGAGACAAACTGAATATGGGCTGTCACCTGAACACAGGGCAGAGTCTGCTGTTAATCATTACTGTTACTGTAGAGAGACCCTGACACTGGCTCTAATGGCACCCGGTGCACTTTCACTTTGTCAGGAATTAATATGTTAATTTATGAGATAAATAGATTTACTTCCTGTAAGACACATTTTACGCCCTCACTATTTTTAATATTATTATAATAATAGTCCTTGCGTTTGACACAGCGCCTTATCACGTTTTTGAGACTTCTCAAAGTGCTTCACAGGATACACTGAGAAATGTAGTGACTGTGTTTTGTGGGAGAAACGCAGCAGCCAATTCCATACAGCAATGTTCCACAAACAGTAGAGGATTGAGTGCCGTATTAGTTACAAAAATTTTTGAATAATCCTTCCATCTGATACAGCACCTTATCACATCTTCGAAACGTCTCAAAGCGCTTCACAGGATACGCTGTAAAGTGGAGTGACTGTGTGTTTTGGGGGCTGAAATGTGGCAGCCAATTGCACACAGCGACGTCCCCACAAACAGTTGTGGATTGAGTGACCACATTATTATTATTTTTTAAAAGATATTATTGCCCCCAGGAAATCGATCCCCCAATCGACTAACCCCCGGGTTCCTACTGACTGCTGGTAAACAGAGGTGTGAGTAAAAAGTGTGTGTGTGTGTGTGTGTGTGGGGTAAGGAAACTTGCTTAAGGTTTTGCCCTGACACACCTGGGAATCGAACCCAGATCCGTTCGCTTGCGAGGCGAGCGCTCTAACCCCTGAGCTACAGGGACTCCACAAGATACTCACTGAGACACAGGTTTAGTGTGTGTTTTGTGATGTGTTCAGTGACTGTTTAGGGATGTGTTCAGGGTCATGTTTCGTTACCCCATCACCCCCATCTTCGTTCGACTCCACTGACTCCCCATCACTGAGAGAGTACAGTTCAAGCTCCTGGTCCTCACCTTTGAAGCACTCCATGGCCTCACTCCCCCCCACCTCTGTGAACTCCTAACTCACCCCCTACCAACCTGTCCATTCTCTCCACTCAGTAGGCTCCGGCCGGCTTCACATCCCCCACCCGCCTCCCCCACCATTGGCTGTCGGGCCTTCAGCCTCTCCGCCCCCTCCCTCGCCTCCTTCAAGGCCAGTTTCAAGACCTTCCTCGTCGACCATCACATCTTTGGTCACTGTCCTACCCTCACTCTCCCCGTCCTCTACCCTTCCTGATCCCAACCGCCAACCTGGGTATAAACCTCTGACTGTCCAGCACTTTGGGATGTCCTCCTGACGTGAATATAATAATCATTCCATTTGATATCGCGCCTTATCACGTCGTCGAGACATCTCATTCATAGAACACATTGTAGAGTGGAGTGACTGTATTTTGTAGCCGAAATACAGCAGCCAATTATCATTTAATTGAAGCGGCTCAAAGAGCTCAGCAGGATATGCTACTGTAAAGTGTAGTGACTGTGTGTTCAGAGACTGTGTAGTGACTGTCAGGGATAGTGTGCACCCCACCACACTCCTTACCTCTGACACAAGATGGAATTATTGCGGTCAAACCAAAGGAATTTTATTACCAGAAGAAGATAACAAGAGAGAAATGTGGAGAGACGAGAGAAGCTGAGATTGTTCTCCTTAGAGCAAGAGGAGGATAGGGGAGATCTAATATAGGTGTTCAAAATGATGAGGGGTTTTGATAGAGTAAATAGGGAGAAACTGTTTCCACTGGTGTGTGGGTCAGTAACGGGAGAACATAGATTTAATATAATTGGGAAAAGAACCAGAGGGGAGACGAGGGGACATTTACGCAGCGATTTATTACGATCTGAAACGTACTGTCGGAAAGGCTCATGAAATCAGATTCCATAGTAGCTTTCAAAAGGGAATTGGACAGGGACTTGAAAAGGAAAACTATGCAGAGATACGGGGTAGGAGCGGGGGAGTGGGACTCATTGGGCAGCTCTTTCAAAGAACCGGCACAGACACGATGGGCTGAATGGCCTCCCCCTGTGTTGTAAGATTCTGTGATTCTACAACAATAATAATAATCCTTGCATTTGATATAGCGCCTTATCACGTCTTCGAGATCTCAGAGCTCTTCACAGAATACACTGTAAAGTGAATTGACTGTATATTTGTGGGCGAAACGCGGCAGACAATTGCGCACAGCAGTGTCCTACAAACAGTCGTGGATCGAAGTAGCCAATATATTATTTTTTGTAAGGATTATTACCCCCAGAAAAGTAATCCACCAGTCGACTAACAACCGTATTCTTACTTACTGCAGTGTAAACAGAGGCGTGTGCGTGTGAAATAAGGACATTATGCCCCGACCCGCCCAGGAATCAAACAAAGGTCCTCTCGCTTGTGAGGCGAGTGCTGTAACCACTGAGCTGCAGGACTCCAACGATAAAACCCCTGACAGTTAACCACCCGGAGCTCAGTGATCTGTGAGTTAGGAATGTCTGGAGTTAATCGCTGTACAGCTCAAAGGTTTCAGTTGGTTTGAAGCACTAATTTCATGTGGAAGTGAAAGCCATTGTAAGATTAGCTCACTCATAAAGCTGGCTCGTGGCCTCAGATTCCTGTACCTTGTCCTGTACCAGCTGACTGGGATAATAATGGTAATAACAACAATAATAATAATAATAATAATCCTTGCATTTGATATACGCTTTTCACGTCTTCTAGACGTCTCAAAGCGCTTCACAGAATAGTGAATTGACTACATTTGTAGGTGAAACACAGCAGCCAATTGTACACAGCAGTGTCCCACAAACAGTCGTGGATTGGAATGACCAATTTATTATTGTTTTTTTTGAGGGATTATTATCAGGGTGTGGAGTAAGGAAACTTGTCCAAGGCCTCGCCCGGCCAGGAATCGAACTCAGGTCTCTCACTAATAATAATAGTAATAATAGTAATTCTTGCAAAAAAGATAAATTGGTCACTTCAATCCGCAACTGTTTGGGGGCACCTCTGTGCAATTACTTGGCTGTTGACTAACAAGCGAGGTCCTACTTACTGCTTGGTAAACAGAGGCAAACGCGTGTGTGTATGTCTGTGTGTGCATGTCTGTGTGTGTATGTCTGTGTGTGTGCGTTTCTGTGAGTATGTGTGTGTGTGTGAGTCTGTGTCTGCGTATGTGTCTGTGTGTGTGTGTGTAGAGTAAGGAAACTTGCCCTACGTTTCACCCTGAATACTGAACTCCTGGTAAATAACATTAACTTCTCAGTGAGCCGATAAGTCACAACAACAACAACTTGTATTTACACAGCGCCCTTTATGAGGGTAGCGTCTCGGAGTGGTGGAGCCTGACGCAGAGCCAGTTGGAGGGGAGAGACAGGCAGAAGGTGACCGTGAGCATGGTCAAAGAGAAAGATTTTCAGTCTTGATCTAAAAGAGGGAGAAGGATAGGAGAGGGGAGGAAAGGGGGAAAGGCGGAGGATCGGGGAGAGAACTCCAAAGTCTGACAATACGACCCCCCATGATGGATCAGAGGGCACGAGGGACACGCAGGAGGCCGGAGGCAGCCGAGAGGAGGCAGTGGGTAGTGGGTTGGGGGGTCAGCAGGTCGGAGAGAGAGGTAGGGAGGTGCCAGAGCCTGAAGAGATTTGTAGATGATTGAAAGGATCTTGAAATCGATCTACGTTGTCACAGCTATCTACTTCCTGGTGCCATTACGACGTAAATTGTGATAAATATCTTTTTGGTGCTTTCCAAGGTCCTGAAACACAATGCAGATCGGACAGACCATTACTAACAACAACATTTTACACTGAACCTTTCACATCAGGAGGACGTCCCAAGGACCTGGACAGTCAGGGATTTGGATCTGAGCTGTGGGTTGGGATCAGGACGGGGTGGATGGTGGCGAGGTAGGGGTTAGGAAGGTGACCAGGTTGAAGGAAAGTCTTGTGACAGGCCTTGAAGGAGGTGAGGGAGTGATGGGGTGGGATGGAGGGACTGTGGGATGGAGTTCCAGAGGGTGGGGCAGAGTAACTGAAGGCCCAACCGATGGTGGGGCAGGTGAGGCGGGGGATGTGAAGCAGGCCGGAGCCCGCTGAGCAGAGAGAGCGGACAGGTTGTTAGGGGGTATGGGGAGCTGCAGAGTTAGTTCTGGATGATCTGCAGTTTGCACAGGGAGGCGTTGGGGAGGCCGACAAGCAGGGAGGGGCAAAGTCAAGCCTGTTTGTGGTGAACACATGGATGAGGGCCTCGGTGGCCTGCGGTGAGAGACAGTGGCGGAGCCGGGCAATATGGCGGAGGTGGGGAAGGCATATCAGGTCATGGCATGGATGAGGGGATGAAGGACAGTTTAGGGTCGTAAAGGACAGAGTTGGGACAGCAAGAGACTGAGCCGGGCTGACACACTGTCCGTGTCAGCCATTTGTTTCCTCACCATGTAAGGGCCTGAATCCTTCTGGGAGACATTGGCAGAGGAAGCCTAAAATATAACCAAACACAGTTTAGCTATTCATTAGCAATGTCGTTAGCAGTAAATAATAATAACCATTGCATTTCATACAGTGCCTTATCACGTCTTCATAACATCTCAAAGCGCTTCACAGGATACACGGTAAAGAGTAGTGACTGTGTGGTTTCATAATAATAATTGTTGCATTTGATACAGTGCCTTATCACGTCTTTGAGTCGTATCAAAGGGGAGCCAATTGCCTAAGGTTTTGCCCTGTCCGGGAAACAAAACCGGATCCTCTCGCTTGAGAGGCGAGGACTCTAACCACTGAGCTACAGGACTGCACAGGACTTACTCTGACATCAATGGTCTCGTAGTATGGTTCACCCTCTGTCTCTTGCTGTGTTTTGGCTGGAAAATAAACAACAACTTGTTTATTCAAAGGCACAGCCTCTGATGGTGGGATGGAGGGAACGAGGGACAAATAGGAGGCCGGTGTGGGGTGGGGGTGAGCAGGTCAGAGAGGTAGGGAGGTGCCAGGGCATGAAAGGGTTTGAAAACGGGTGAGAGTATCTTGAAATCGTAGAAAATCTTGAAAATAAACAAGAGTTTGGTGCTGAACCGGTGAACCTGGAGAGAAACGGAGAGGGAGGGACTGACAGAGAGAGAGATAGGGGTAGAGCCTGACAGAAAGAGAGAAAGACAAAGGAGGAGTGATTGATAGCGAGAGGGGGAGATGGATGGATAGAGACTGACAGAGAGTGAGATGGAGGTTGATAGAGAGAGAGGGGTAGAAACTGATAGAAAAGAGTGGGTGAAATGGAGAGGGAGAGACTGAGAGTGATGGAGGGTGATAGAGAGAAGGGGAGAGACTGATAGAAAAGAGAGGGTGAAATGGAGGGGGAGAGGCTGATAGAGAGAGAGAGACAAAGTGGGAGAGACTGATAGTGAAAGAGAGTGAGACGGAGGGGCTAGAGACAGATAGAGAGAGACGGAGGGGTAGAGACTGACAGAGAGAGAGGACAGTGAGAGGGTGAGTGGCTGAGGGGGGTCTGGACTGGTATATAAACAACAGAACATGAAGGTGAAAGGTTTTCCTGTGTATATACGGCCTCACCTTCCTTACGTTTCCTGTAAACGTACACCACAGCGAGTGTTGCAATGACCACCACAGCCACAGCCCCCACTATTGTCCCCACTATCAGGGCCACATTCACTGCGGAGAGAAACACCTTCACTGTCTCTCTATTAGATTATACTCTCGTAACACAGAGACCACAGCACAGACCTCATGTAAATCATATCAATCCTCGCATTTGATACAGTGCCTTATCACGTCGTTGTAAAGTGTAGTAACTGTGTATTTGTGGGTGGAACACGGCAGCCAATTGCACACAGCAGTGTCCCACAAACAGTCGTGGATTGATTGACCAGATTTTTGTTCTTTTGGAGGATTATGATGACCTCCGGAAAGTGAACCGTCAATTGACTAACAGCGGGTTCCTACCTACTGCTGATAAACAGAGGTACGCGTCTGTGTGTGTATGTGTGTCTATGTGTGTCTGTGTGTGTGTGTCTGTATGTGTGTGTGTCTGTGGGTGTGTGTCTGCGGTGGGGTGTGTATGTCTGTCTGTGAGTTTGTGTGTGTCTGTGACTGTGTAAGTGTGTGTGTGTGTGTGTGTGTGTCAACATATCATAACTTACCTCCGCCTTTCAAAGTCACGTCAAATTGGAAGAAGTTCTCTCCCATTGCGTTAGTGACATGGCATTGATATGTGCCCTGATCGGTTGCCTGGAATTTACTGATGAGCAGTTTAGAGAAGGTTGGTCCTGAGGTGATGTTGAACTTGCCGTCAGAGCCAGTGATGGAGTTGTCTTCCTTCGACCATGTAAAGTGTGCGGGCAGCAGGCCAGGGTCTGACACCCGCACTGTGTCTGTCAGTGACACGTCTAAGGTCACATCTGCCTCCTTCCCCACTTCCACCTGAGGCTCAGACCCTGACGCTCTCTGGGGTTTATCTGTGTAACAGCACAGACAGTGTTCAGCAAAACAGCAACACAGTCACCCCAACAGTCAGTAGGAATAATAATAATCCTCCCGTTTGATACAGCGCCTTATCACGCCATCGAGACATCTTAAATCCCATCTAAAGACCTTCCTCTTCGACCAACCGCACATTCAGCCACCCTCCCACCCCCAACCACCACCACCCCCCCTGTCCTCCACCCCTCCTGACCCCAACTCCCAGCTCAGGTCCAAAAACCCTGACTGTGCAGCGTCCTGGAAAGTCTTTGCGACGTGAAAGGCGCTATACAAGTGTAATTTGTCATCGTTGTTGTTGTTCAGCCCTCAAGTCCTCACCAATAACTATAGAGCATTGACTGTCAGAGACAACATGGCGTCCAACACATGTGAAGATCTCTCGGGAGCTGAGCTGATCCTTTGTGATGGTGACATTCCCCTCGTTTGTCGCATTGACAATCGTCTGTCCGACCTTCAGCTGAAGGACAGTGTCTGGCACCCCACCAGCCCAGGAGCACATCAACACCAATGCTGTTCCTTTATCTGCTGCTCCGCATGTGATCTGCTGTGTGGGAGCCCCTTGAACAAGGCAAAGACAAACAGTCCAGTTATTGGCTCCACCTTGAGTTGTCCCCACCCTCGCCCGGCTCCACTGGCTCCCCATCCCTCAGAGGATACAGTTCAAGATCCTGGTGCTCAGCTTTAAAGCCCTCCATGGCCTCACTCCTCCCTCCCTACCTCTGTGACCTCCTAATCCCTGACCAACCGGTCCGCTCCCTCTGCTTAGCGGGCTCCGGCCTGCTCCATGTTCCCCGCCCGCCCATCCCCTTAAGCCTCTCTGCCCCCACCCTCTGAAACTCCCACAATCCCTCTGCCACGCCTCCCTCACCTCCTTCAAAACCTATCTCAAGATCCTCCTCTTCGACAGACCGTGCCTTCGGTCACCCTCCTACACCCATCTCCCTGCCCTCCAACCCTCCTGATAGCAACCCCCAGCTCAGATGTGGGTCCCTGACTGTCCAGCGCCTTGAGACATCCTCCTGATGTGAAAGCCACTGTGTAAATGCCATGTATTGTTTACACAGTGCCAATTTTGACTGAGATCTAACTCACTGTACACGAGGATTGAAACCTTCTCCGTGTGGCTAATCGTGGTGTAATCATTCTTCACATTGCAAGTGTAATCCCCGCTGTTGTTGAACGTGAGGCTCTCTATAGGCAGCTGTGAGGTGTTGCCGGCAATGACTGTGGTGTTATGTGTCCACCTGTAGTTACACTCTGGGAAACATTTCGTCTGACAGTTGAGCGTCACTAAATCTCCCTCCTTCCCACAGTACTGTCCTGGGACCAAACTGTCACATATCACTTGCCCACTCATATATACTGTGGGTGGATCAGGGCCATCTGAAAGAAAAACATTAAGTGATGACATAGATAGATAAATGGGTGGCAGATGATAGTGTGAGAGAAACAGCCTTTTTACATGTATCACAGACCTCCGACTGTTTGTGGGTCCCTCCTGTGCGCAATTGGCTGCCGTCCCCCGACCCACCCACCCCACCATTGGCGGGAGAGCCTTCAGCCACTCTGCCCCCAACCTCTGTAATCCTATCCCCCAGTCATTCCGCTTCACGCCCTCCTTAGCCTCCTTCAAGTCACGCCTCAAGACCCTCCTCTTCGACCATGCCATCGGCCATCCCCCTTCCCCGCCCCTCCCTTCTCCCCCCCTGACTCCAGCTCGGGTCTGAAATGCTGTCACTGTCCAGTGCCTTGGGACATCCTCCCGATGTGAAAGACGCTATACAAATGTAATCCTGTTGTTGTTGTTGTGTTTCACCCATAAAATATACAGTCAATTCACTTTACAGTATATTCTGTGAAGTGATTTGAGACGTGAGGAGGTGTTTTTTTTGGAGGGGTTAATACATTCGGAAAAGTGATCCGGCAATCGACTAACAAGGGTTTCCACTTACTGTTAGGTAAACAACAAAATACAACAACAATAATATTACATTTATAGAGCGTCCTTAACGTCGGGAGGACGTCCCAAGACATTGGCGCTGCTAAACAGTGGGGTGTATGTGTGTGGGGGGGTGGGGGTGGCGGTGAGTGTTGGGTGGAGTAATGTACCTGCCTAAGCTTTCGTCCTGACCTGCGCGGGAATCAAACCCAGGTCCTCTCGCTTGATAAGGCGATATATCAAGTGCAAGAATGATTATTATTCTGATGATCATGACTATGATCATTATTATTGTTATTATCTTTACTGTTATTGCAGCTCAGGTCACGTGAGGCTGACTTTGGGTCATGGAGTTTAAAGCGAGTCGGGGTTCCTGCTCCTGGTCCCTAAACTCCCTCTCGGGCTCAGGTGTGTGTGTTGCAGTCTGGTGGGGAGATTAGGTTTGTCTGTGGGGCCCTCTACAGTCAAGTGGCCGATTGACACTCAGATAGTGATGGGATCTTTAACCTGAACAGGCAGATAGTTTAACGTCTCATCCAAACAGCGGCTCTTTAATGATAATAACAATAGTGGAGTCCTGTTGCTCAGTGGTTAGAGCATTTGCCTCGTAAGTGAACTTGAGTTCAATTCCCATCAGGGTGCGAATGCTTGGGCAAGTTTCCTTACTCCACACGCCTGATAATAACCCTCCAGAAAGAAACTAATAGTAAATTGGTCACTTCAATCCACGGCTGTTTTGGGACGACGCTGTGTGCAATTGTGTTTCACCCACAAATATACAGTCAATTCACTTTACAATATATTCTGTGAAGCATTTTGAGATGTCTCAAAGATGTAAAGAGCGCGGCATCAAATGAAAGGTTTATTATATTATTTATAGGGCAAAACATTGGGCAAGTTTCCTTACTCCGTACGCCTCTGTTTACCTCGCAGTGTGTGGGGACCCAGTTGTTAGTCGACTGATGGATCGCTTTTCCGAGGGTAAAAATTCCTTCAAAAAATAATATTCATGAATTGGTCCCTGAATCCCCAACTGTTTGTGGGACACTGCTGTGTGCAATTGGTTGACATTTTATGGAGTGGTTATTACCTCCAGAAAGCGATCCGGCAATCAACTGACAAGTAGGTTCCCACTTACTGCAGGTCAGCAGAGCCATGTCTATGTGTGTTTCTATGAGTGGAGGAAGGACTATATGAGTTCCAAGTGCTGACGTGAGGCTTGAACCCACAACCTTCTGCCTTATAGAGAGCTGAGCCAGGCTGGAACAAGTAGGGATATACGTGGGCCAACTGCACTGTCCTGTTCAGCTCACGTTGATCTGGTTTTAACACCACAGCAAATATACTCACAAGTTATCACCAGCTTCACTGGTTTGCTGCTGTCACTGTTCACCGGGTTACTGGCCGTGCAGATAAACCCTCCACTGTCGTTCCTGTGTACGGGGCTGATTGTCAGAGTGCTATTAGCTGCAGACAGTGTGTAACGTGGGGTTACAGGTAACGGGTGTCCACCCAGTGCCCAGGAATAGGTGGGGAACAATCCCATCGTTGTACACCTCAATGTCGTTGTGTCTTTATTCTCGATAAATATCTCCTTGTCTGGACTCAGGCTGATGCTCACATTGGACAGCAGAGCTGTAAGATAAAGTGTTTCATTTCATCCGGATTTACTTTACTTAACACAAAGCTGTTCTGCTTCAGTTCAAGATCCTGGTCCTCACCTTGAATGTCCTCTACAACCTCACTCCTCTCTCCTTACCTCCGCTCCCTCTGCTCAGCGGGCTCCGGCCTGCTTCATGCCCCCCGCCCATCTGCCCCACCATCAGCGGTTGGGCCTTCAGCCTCTCTGCCCCAATCCACGACTGTTTGTGGGACACTGCTGTGTGCAATTGGCTGCAGAGTTTCGCCCACAAAATAGACCGGCAATTCACTTTACAGTATATCGTCCCAAAATACATCACTTTGCACTTCTCCACATTAAACTTCATCATGTCTGCCCATGTTACCAGTCTGTCTATGTCCTCTTGCAGTCTGTTACTCTCCTCCTCACTGTTTACTACTTTTCTTAGCTTAGTATCATGTGTGTGGCTCCTGATCACACACTAAACTCTGTACCCCATCATCCCAGTCCTGCCCAGGCTCCAAACTTGGCAATTGTGCTCTCTATACCCAAGTCCAGGCCACCTTAAAGACCCATTTCAAGGCCTTCCTCTTCGACCGGCCATGCCTCCAGTCATCCTTCTATTCCAACCCTACCCGCCCTCCACCCCTCCTTATCCCAACCCCCACTCGAGTGCGGATCCCTGACTATCCAGTGCCTTGGGACGTCGTCCTGATATGAAAGCCACTGTTGTTGTTTACACCATGACATTTTTGACTGAGATAACTAACTCACTGTACACGAGGATTGAAACCTTCTCCGTGCGGCTAATCGTGGTGTAATCATTCTTCACATTGCAAGTGTAATCCCCGCTGTTGTTGAACGTGAGGCTCTCTATAGGCAGCTGTGAGGTGTTGCCGGCAATGACTGTGGTGTTATGTTCCACCTGTAGTTACACTCTGGGAAACATTTTGTCTGACAGTTGAGGGTCATCAAATCTTCCTCCTTCCCACAGTACTGTCCTGGGACCAAACTGTCACATATCACCTGCCCACTCACAATAAAGGTGAGTGGATCAGGGCCATCTGAAAGAAAAAGCATTAAACTATGACATAGATAGATAAATGGATGGCAGATGATAGTGTGAGAGAAACAGTCTTTTTACATGTATCACAGACCTCTGACTGTTTGTGGTTCGCTGCTGTGTGCAATTGGCTGCTGCGTTTTGCTCATAACATATACAGTCAATTCACTTTACAGTATATTCTGTGAAGCGTTTCAGTCGTCCAGAAGATGTGAAAAGCGCTGTATCAAATGCAAGGATTATTATATTATTGATAGAGCAAAACGTCGGCCAAGTTTCCCTACTCCCAAACACACCGTCTGTTTACTGAGCAGTAATTAGGAACCCGGTTATTAGTCGATTGGTGAGAATCAAACCAAAGTCCTCTCACTTGCGAGGTGAGGGCTCCAACCACTGCAGGACCCCACTGTTTGTTTCTCTATTCACAGCATCAAACCCCAATGTAGAATATTCCAGCATTGCATTGGCGCTTCAGTCTGGACTACATGAGTTCCAAGTACTACGTGAGGCCACAACCTTCTGACTTATAGAGAGCTGAGCCAGGCTGGAACAAGTAGGGATATACGTGGGCCAACTGCACTGTCCTGTTCAGCTCACGTTGATCTGGTTTTAACACAACAGCAAATATACTCACAAGTTATCACCAGCTTCACTGGTTTACTGCTGTCACTGCCCACCAGGTGACTGGCCGTGCAGATAAACCCTCCACTGTCGCTCCTGTGTACGGGGCTGATTGTCAGAGTGCTATTATCTGCAGACAGTGTGTAACGTGGGGTTAGAGGTAACGGGTTTCCATCCAGTGCCCAGGAATAGGTGGGGAACGATCCCATCGCTGTACATCTTAGTGTCGCTGTATCTTTTCTCGATAAATATCTCCTTGTCTGGACTCAGACTGATGCTCACATTGGACACCGGAGCTGTAAGATAACGCATTTCATTTCATTCAGAAACTTGTTCAATTCACTTCACTGACACAGACTGTTCAGAGTCACTTTGCTGAACCCTACACTTTATTTCTGACGCTGTTTGTTATGATTCACTGTTTATTCAGGTCTCAGTCTGGCTCATTTGGTAGCACAATTTATGGTTTAAAGTCACACTCTGGGAGCTCACAGTCCAGGTTTATTGGCTTAATGAATGAGATGAAATGGGCCCTTTACTGCAGTCTATCAGGAAGGCAGAGCAAGTGTGTCTCTGCTCCTCTCTCTCTCCTCTCTCCCCACCACCCACTCCCCAACCCCACTCTCTCATTCCTCTCTCCCCTCTCACTCTTCCGACCTTGCCCTCTCTTTCCCACTCTTTCCCCCTTCTCTCCCCTTCTCTCCCTTCCTCTCTCCCCTCTCCCTTCCCCTCTCTCCCCCTTATCTTTCATGCCTCCCTCTCTCCTCCCTCTCTCTCTCTCTCCCTCTCTCTCTCCCAATCACTCTCTCCCAATCAGCAGTGGTAGGAGCCCAAGGACACAGTTGGTAAGAGACTCATTTGCCTTCCTGACAGACTGCAGTAAGGGCTCTGCTCGCTGGATTCTCCCAAACGCCGGCTCCTGCCACTGCCCTGTGAGGACATTCACCAGGGAGGGAGGGAGGGGTGGGGGAGAGGAAGTTGGAACATTGCAAATGGCCGCCAGCCGCACAAAATCACCAACGGGCAGCTGACAGCCCACGTACCGCCTCTTGGACCACAATGAGCTGAATGAATGAAATGAAATCGGTCCGGGGGGCCGGATGTGGCCCACGGGCCGCCAGTTGACCTTCCTGCTCTAACTAATACCCTACAGGACTCCAGGGCTTCCGATCACAAGCACTAAATTCCGTACCCCCATCAACCTCGCCCTCCATTGGTAGATGGACCTTCAGGTGCTACGCCCCAAAACTCTGTCACTCTCTCCCGCAATCCCCGTCTCACCCTCTCGTTCCCACCTCCAAATTCTATTTAATGACCTTCCTTTTTGATTGTGTTTACCGTCACCTCCCCCCTCCCTCTCCCACCGGCTCGGGGTCAGATTCTGCCCCTGTTAAGCGCTCCCGGACGCTACCCCACGTGAGGGATGTGGTGTAAATGCAAGTTGTTGTTGTTTACTCACTGTGAACACGCAGTTGTAAAGCTGCTGTGGCTGTTCCGTGGCTTAATTCAAACACAATCACTGAGTACGAACCGGAATCAGCCGAGTCACTGTGTCCAGACGTAGAGTGGCATTGTTGGGGTAAAAGCTCAGCCCGACCCTGGTAGTCTCCAAAGTACTTCACTGCTGTTCCCTGTGCTGATGCGATTGTGGAGCTGGTGTTGACTGTCCATGTTATAGTAAAACTTCCCTGTACTGGGCATTACCAGGAAGTACACAGATTGTCCGGCTGTGGCTTCTATGTGACTCTCAGTGACGTCAGACTGAAAGCTCCCACCTGCTCTGTAACACATAACACACAAACAGTCAATCAATCACACTGTAATAATAATATTAATAATAACCTGTAGCTCAAGCATTAGACCTATCACTTCGCTAAAATCGGAGATGGGACTCAAGGTTGGTACTGGATCGCCTATAGAGTTG